AGCTGAGTTTGCAGCTCAGAGAAGATGGGGGGAAGGAAATAACAAGGAGGCCCTGGATCTCATTGCTGCTTGAAAGGTTTCTAGGCATAAGCAAGGGATCCCCAGCAACTTAGTCTGGCTTAGCCCTAAAGGACACATAGAGCTTGTTTATGATCAGAGCTTGTATTACCTTTGGAAACTTAAGACTGTAACTGTGATGGAGTGGGAATTTTCTGTAATATTTTATATGAATATTGTGTGTGCCTCAGTTTCCCCATGTGCTGCATTGTTAGTTAGGTGGCAGGAAAAGGTTGTTTACTCACTGCAGAGACCCAGAGCTCAGGTATGATGGACACCCACTGTCTGGGCCAGGGCCACTCTAACTGTCTGGACATTTGGTACCTAGGGTGGCTGGCCCACCCCTCCTCAGGAAGCCAGCTGGGTTTGCCCAGGAACTAGAACAAAGGACTGAGGTGGGGGGTTGTTAAGCGTGGGCTGCTGATATCTAGAGACTCCCTTGGACTGGGACAGAATAGGGGTCAGAGGGCTCTGGGCTGCCCAAGATGAACCAGGCCGTAACGTTCTGTTCTCTGTGCTAACCAAGGACTGTCTATGCCATGTTCTTGACATCTAATAAACCTGACCACTTTTCCAGTGCCAGCCGAGCATCACGGCAGATGCTGAAGGTGGGGGTGCATGGCTCCCTTTGGGGGTACAAGTCTCCCGCAGGTGCCCATCTCAAGTGGACTCATTGAAGGGAGCTCACGGTGTGGCGCAGGGGTGCTGAAGGCTCCGAGGTTCAGTCCCAGGAGGCAGTGAAGCCAAGTGGCTTGCCCTACTGAAAGACTGTGACCCTAAGGGGGTCTGGCTCCTCCCAGAGACCGCTCCAGAGCAGTGGGCCTGTGGATCCGTGACAGTAACTCATTTGTGTGTGTATGTTTACCTGCTTTCACTTGTAAAGAACGCTCATTTTCTTTTCCAATCTAATAAAGCTGTAGCTAGTTTATTATAGGATTGGCTACAAGCGTTATCTTTGGTGTGAGATCTAAAGTGCAGCTGACCTGGGGTAAGTGACTGGTTTGCTGGAACTGGGAGTAACCTGAAGCTCGCTGTGAGTTTTGGTGGAAGGGACCTGCTGTCACAAAGGCAGGCTCACCTGTGTGGCAAGCCAGATCGGAGTACAGAAGGGGACTGTCTGTGACTCCCTGTGATAGTGCCTGAGGAGTTTACACTTGATAGTTGGTGAAATCTAAGTCTAGAACTCACAGCCAATTTGGGGTTTGTGTGCTGGTTCCCAGCAGTCTGCCCTGAGGTTGGTCCTTACCCTCTTGAGCCACTGCAGGACAGCTTGACCCAGTGACCTGTGCTCGTCCTTATTGTGCCCCGCACCCCCACCCAATCCATGTGTCATTGCCAAACTTTATCAGTCGTGCTTTAATGTTTTCTTCCAGGTCATTGATAAAAATGTTAACTAGTGTAGGGCAAGGACCCGCCCCCCCATAGAACCCCCACCTGCTCAGGGACAACAGTCTCAGCCCGATCACTGAGCTGTCTAATGTATTGTTCTAGTTTGTTCATCAGAATGTTGTGCAGTACCACATCAAATGCCTTACAGAAGTCTAACTCTATTCCATCAGCACGGTTACCGTTATCGACCAAATTTGTAAGCTCACCAAAAAAAGCTATCAAGTTAGTTTGACAGGGTCTATTTTCCATAACCCCATGTTGATTGATGTTAATTACATTACCCACCTTTAATCCTTTATTAAGCAAGTCCCTTATCCGCCACTCCATTATCTTGCCGGGGCTCAATGTCAGCTTGGCAGACCTAGAATTACCTGGGTCCTCCCATTTAGCCTTTTGAAATATTGGCACAATTTTCACTTGCTGGCACTTCCCCAGAGTGCCAAGGCTTATTGAAAATCGCCATTAATGGGTCAGCGGGTGCCTAGCCAGCTCTTTTAAAACTCTTGGATGCAAGTCATCCAGACCTGTTTGTTTAAAAATGTCTAAGGTTAGTAGCTGCTTTTTCACATCCTCCTGAGCGATTAGTGAAATGGAGTGAGTGCCATCAATAGCATATGGCATAACTACACCCCTGGTTTCCCCCCACATACAGAACAGAAATATTTATTGAACACGTTTGCCTTTGCTGCATTATTATCGCCAATGCCACCGGTTCCATCTCGTACTGAACCAATACCAAGGCTAGGATTCTTTTTGTTCCTAATGCACATCAAAAAATCCTCACGGTCCTTCTCGCTGCTGGCCAGTGATTTCGCCTTGTGCCTTTTGCTTTCCTTAGCTATGTGGGGCTGTTCCTAGTTTCTGATTGATGGTCATTAGTATCAACGTCCCCTTTCAGCCATTTATGGTTTTTTTTAACAGCTGCCTTCACTCCCCCTCTGAACCAGGTCAGGTTTTAAACCAGTACAGCTGCCTTTCTTGGCCATCAGGTAATGTGTTATTAATGACCCTGGGCGGAGCCACCTGCGTGCCCGTCCTGGCGCTCCGTGCAAATGTGTCCTTTGGCCTCTCTGCTGTAGGACTCAGTGGCTGGGTGCCCACAGAGACGTTTGACAGGAACGCTGCTAAGTGTGCCTCAGGCGTGCGTCCGCCACACTGCGAGTGGGCATTTCAGCTGACGACATCAGGGCTCGCCAGCACACCCAGCTCCTCGCCCCAAAGGGCTGTGGGGAGCACTGGCTGCTGCCTGAGGGGGATGTCTAGGGGCCCCGCTCCAGCTCAGGTTGGATGCCAGCAGCCCTGGGCTCTGTGGGAGGCCAGACAGATCGGGGAGGATGGGTCACTCTGGCTTGAGATCTATGACCCTCATGGGGGTTACTAGCCTCTGAGGAAAACAAGCGACTCCCCCTTTTCTCATCCGCCCCGGGCAGGGCAGGCTACCCGGACACGTTCATCAAGTTACCGATCTCAGGGCACAAGAGACAATTCGGAGCATCCCGTCGGGGCTCCTGTAGAGCCCGAGGCAGCGACTTGCACCCGGTGAGACCTGCATTCAGCTCCCCTCCCCTGCTGTCTGAGGCAGAACATGGCCATAAGAACGGCGACACTGGGTCAGCCCAAAGGGCCAGCTAGACCAGTGTCCTGTCTTCCGACAGTGGCCAATGCCAGGTGCCCCAGGGGGAACGGACAGAACAGGGAATCATCAAGTGATCCATCCCGTGGCCCATTCCCAGACGACCACGCTGCCGACAGACAGGGTGACAGAGAACCCCCTGGCCCCAGCTCAGCTGACCCACTGGTGGGTAACCCTCGCTTGAAAGTGTCTGCTTTGAATTTGTTTTGCTCCAGCCCCCAGGTATCACTCTGCCTTCAGCCGGCAGGGGGAAGCGCAGTCTGTGAGCAGAAAGCCTCTTGCCCTGGCGGTGTTCGTCAACCATGATCAAGTCACCTCTGAATCTCCTTCTGGTAGAGGGAGTTTCTTCAGTCTCCCTAAGTGGCAGGTTCTCCAGCCCTTGACTCATCCTTGTAGCTCTTCTGAGCCCCTTCCAGCTAAGCAACATCCTTGTTCCAGTGTCAACCCCAGACCTGGAGACAGGATCCCGTGATGGTCCCACTCCTGCTGCACCAACAGGTAATCCCACCTCCCAGTCGTAATGGAAAGTCCCCTGCTTAGACCTCTCATTAGCCTCTTTAAGGTTAGCCACAGCATGCCCCCAGGAGCCCAAATCAACTGGTTTCTACCTTGACCGGAGCCCTTTGCAAGGGATTTCCAGGAAAGACTTGCCCCTCCCCCCAGCGGCATGACCTACTGTCCTTGTTCCTAGTTGTGACCTTAGAGATGCCCCAAGCTCAGTGGGGACTGTCGATCTAGGCTGAGCGGCCATAGAGCAGGCCCTAGGACTCCCCACAACTGATTCCCAGAGCGGGTCTGTTAGCAAAACACCCACTTGTCAGGGATGGAGAATCCACCGTTTCATGGTTAGTTCCCCTGGCTGGGGAAGGTGACACCTTATTTCCAGGTACCTTGCACTGAGGTGTATTAAAGCCCATTTTGTTTCCATGAGCAATCCCGACTGCGCTGTGTCATTGACTTACCCCAGCGACTCCCACTCCGGCTGGCTTTGTGGCACCTGCAATAATTGGCTATGTTCTTCATTAGATCATTAGTAAGATTTGAACTAGCGTTAGCCCAAGAACAGTCCCATCCTGTGGGATCTCACCCAGGAAGCTCCTTGGGACCAGTTACCTTTGGAGATCAGCCAGGTTTTAACCCATGTAATACGCACCATGTTGATTTTGCACCGTGCTGTGTTAGTGTGGGGCATTTCCAGCATGTCCACACGTTGGCTGAGAGCTGCTTCCCCCTCTGCCCCCTCCCACCTCTGCGGCATGTGGCATGATATCCAGGCAGAGCGTCTCCTTTCAGGGAGGCAGGCAGGGAAGAATCTGGTTTCCTTTCCATAGAAAATAATTTATTGAAATCACGACTATACATGGATGGGGCACAGACGCAGCCAGTCACAGTGATACCTTATGGACAGTGAGAATACGTACGCCATCCACCCCTTCTGTGCAACCCTGCCCTGCTGCAGGGAGGAGGGGATGGGGGAAGAGAGGGCGGCATGCGGAGGTAGGGGGCCTGGAGAACCCACAGACTGATCATTGCACACAGGAGCCCAGCGCCAGCTAGAGCCCCATCCCTCCCGGAGGCAGACCCGCACTCCCCCAGACAGACGGACAGACACACACAATCCCATATGTACAGACTTTACACAGAATAAATAAGGGATATTTACAGAGAGGTTTGTGAGCAGTGGCTGGAGCACAAATAGTTAAAACTCCCCCTGCAGCACCGCCCCAAGGGTCTGCACTGGAGCGTCTCCCTTTGCTGCAGCGTCGGGAGTGGGAGCTTGGTCAGCCCTGGGCCCACTCGGCCATGCAAGGCAGGCCCCTCTGCAAGACATGGCACGTGCCTGCTAGTTTGCAGCCAGGGGCATTTGGCGTTTTCCCTCCCACAGAGTTTCTGAGCTGGAGCCCGGAGCATGTGGCAGGGCTCAGGGCCGGCTGCCCTGTTCTATCTGCTGGTGCTGGCTGCGCACGGCGAACCTGTTGACGTGCACGGGGATGGGCACCACGATCTTGGGGTTGCGGACGGGCTCACCAGAGCGGTTGTTGACGTTGCCGGCTTTGATGCGTTTCCACTTGGCGCGGCGGTTCTGGAACCAGATCTTGACCTGCACCTCGCTGAGCTTGAGGGCATGGGCGATCTGCGAGCGCTCCGTCAGGCTCAGGTACTTCTTGCAGTGGAATTCCTTCTCCAGCTCCAGCAGCTGCTCGCTGGTGAAGGCCGTGCGCCTCCGGCGGCTCTTCCCCGGGTTGGAGCCGGGGGGTGCCTGCTCCCCACCGGAGCTGCTCTTGGGTTTGGCCTTGGGCCCCAGGCAGCTGGCACTGCTCCCATCCAGGAAGCTCTCATCCTCACTGTCAGGTGCGGAGCTCTCCTCTTCCCTCTCACTGCACGGGGTCTCTGCCGATTTCACCTCCAGCTTCTCTTCGTCGGAGCTGTACGCCTTGCCATCTGCAGCCAAGACAAACAGCATTAACCAGGGCACCTGCATGGGGCGAGGGAGCCAGTCTGCTCTGGAGAAGCCTGCTGGGAAGCCCCCAGGTAGACTTGCTGGGCCAACACCCCCCGCTCAGACCCTTGTGTGCACCAGTGTTCCTGTGGGGAGCAACAGGGGGCCCAAGGGCAAGGGAGCCCCCAGCACTTTAGCCACCTGCTCTGAGCCAGGCCCGTGGAAAGATAACGACGCCTTGTCTGCACTAGAGCTCACCCTGTCACTCCCTCCTACCCCCCGCCCCACCGCACCAGTGCAGGCACAGCAGGAGGAGCCTCCCCCATGCAGCCCACGCCAGGAGGGGGAGGGAAAGATGAGGGACAATTTCTGGGTTTGGTGCCCTCCCTGCCTCCCACGCGCCTAGAGCAGAACTCCCGTCTGCCTGGAAGTCACCAGGCTCCAGCCCAGACTCAGCAGATCTGAGGCTCACTGGCTGAGCCCGTTTGGAGCCGGGGGCTCTGCAGCATTCGCACGCTTGGGGGGCAGCGCACGTGCTGTGGGAGAGTCATTTTCCCCTGCAGTTACTGCAATGTCCAGCTCTGCTGCTAAGGGTCCCAGCAAGATACAGCTCCCAGGAAATAAATGGGCGTCGCTTCCCATCCCCTTCAGCCGGGCCGAAGTTCTGGGCTGCCTTTGCTGAGACAAGGGCTCGCTAGTCCGGCTCGCGTTAGCCACACTCCCAGAGCACCTCCCTGACGCTGGGTCACAGACACTCGAGCAATGCCCCAGGCCCAGCTGTGCTGCTCAGAGCCAGCCTCCAGCAGGTTCTTCACTGGGTGTGTTCGTGCTGAGCAGAGTCCGGCCAGCTCAGTGGTCCCCAGACTATGGGGCGCGGCAGGGCCTGGGCCAGCCCCCAAGGGGGGTGGGGAGGGAGCCCCACCCAGCTACACTCTGGCCCCGCCCCTGGCCCCAGTTCCAGCCCCAGCCTCAGCCCCCAGCTCCCACTCCAGCCCCAGCTCTCGACTGTGGCTCTGGCCCTGTAACTCCCCGGGGGGGGGGGGCACAAACAAATTCCATTATGGGTAAGGGGGGATATGACAGAAAAGGTTTGGGGACCACGGGTTTAGCTTGACTTTACCATGTTACAGGGAAGTAAGCGGCGCTCGTCATTTACTTCAGTCGCAGATCGAATCCTAGAAACGTTGGGCTCGAGGTCATCGCCGCCAGCCCCTGCACTGACGCAGACCCACGTAAACCAGCCCTGACAGGGTCTGTCCAACCTGGGCTTAAAACCCCCAGTGCTGGGATTCCACAGCCTCCCAGCGCCGCCTGTTCCAGAGCTGAACTCTCCTGGATACTAGGAAAGCTGGCTAGGTTTCCCTGGCTGCACATCAAGTCCATTGCTGCTTGTCCTGCCCTCAGAGAGCAAGTGATCCCCATCCTCGTTATAACAGCCCGTAATAACCCATCCGAAGGCTGTCGTCAGCCCCCCTCAGTCTTCTTCTCTCAAGACTAAACACACCCAGTTTTTTAACCTTTCCTCACAGGTTTTCTGAACCTTTGATCAGTTTTGTTGCTCTTGTCTGGACTGTCTCCAATTTATCCACTTTCCTAAAGCGCAGCAGCCAGAACCGGACCCCGGACTCCAGCGGAGGCCCCATGAGGCCAAGCAGAGTGGGACAAATACCTCCCCCGTCTTACACACGACGCTCCCGTTCACACACACTAGCCTTTTTCACAACTGCATTGGATCGTTTACTCTTAGTAAGTCTGTGCTCCACTATAAGCCCTAGTTCTCTTCTGCATGTTCTGTTACCTAATCCTGGCAAAACAAAGTTCTCTGGACAGAGGTGGCTCTTTTAATGTGTGATTTGTGCAAACAAATCAGGAAATCTGTTAAATTCCCATTCGCTAAAGTTCGGGAAATTCCTTCTGAGTAGCCGCTCTTTGGGCTGCAGAGACCCTCTGCCCTTTGCACTGTAACTACCGGTGCAGCTCCCCCCACAGCTCCGGTGCTCTAGCCCAGGGATTCTCAAACCTCATTGCACTGCAACAAAAGTTACGACACGACCCCAGGACGGGGGAGCGACGCCTGAGCCCACCTGAGCCCTGCTGCTCCGGGCAGGGGGGCCAAAGCCGAAGTCCAAGGGCTTTGTCCCCAGGCAGGGGGCCTGTAACCCGAGCCCCACCACTCCGGGCTGAAACCGAAGCCTGAGTCTAGGCAGTGGGGACTCAGCTTTGGCCCCAGGCCCCAGCCAGTCTCACGCCAGCCCTGGCGACCCCATTAAAACGTTTGAGAAGCGCTGCTCTAGCTAGCATTTGCAGGTTGTGCTCTGGTTACAGCTACATAAAGTCCCGGATCAAGGAACAGACTCAAAAGCAAATGGCGTATGTCTCTCCCCAGCACAGCATGAGCAGTCAATGGTGGAAATCTGAAATTTACTTTTGCCAAAAACTGGAACGGTCAAGCTAGAGGTTGGGTTTTCGCAGGATTTCTGCTGGTTCCGCACATGGGCAGCAGCAGGATGGGAAGCGACAGCACCACGAAGCTGGCCCAGGCTTCCAGGAGAGTCACCCTGGCAGCGTACCCCACTCGCTGCAGCTTCGAACTGCGCATGTCCCTTCTAAACCCCCTCTACTCCCAGTGCCTTCCTGGGAGACAATCCCCTTCTGTTCTGCAGGGGGAGCGGTGCCAGATTCACAACGTGTTAAGTAATGCAGCTAAAGAAAAGCAGAGAGTTCGTTGCAGACAGGGTTTTGCTTTCTCCCCATTGCTGGCTCAAGGGGAGCTCTGGGGAGTTCAGAAACCCTTCCTGAGGCTTGGCCGACCAACAGCCCCTGCTGGCAGCATCTGTAAGCAGAGCAGGCCTGGGTTTAGCCCCGGGTCAAGGAGTTAAGAAGCTCCACAGACGCAGGCCAGAGCTGAGCCTCTGCAGGAGCCAGCAGCGCTGGTCCAGTGCCCAGAGCTGCTCCAGCACAAAGCCACCGCTCCAGATTGCACAACGCTGAGACAAACCCAGCAGAGACTGGAGCTTCCAGGAGCAATCGGGCTATTCTCACTGCAGAATGAGCACAGGCTGGGATGGGTGTTGCCCCAACCACCTCCTTTCCACACACCAACCCTCTCACTGGAGGGTGGTGGCAGCTTTGCACCTGGGTTAGCCTATGGCCCCAGCAGGCCACATGCTGCTTTCACTCAGGTTGGTAAGCTGCCTGCTTTCAGGGAGGAGACCGGCTAGATCACCTGAGTGTTGATAATCCTTCAATGCTGCAAGAAAGTGGGGTTTTCCTCCTTATTGTGTTGTATGTGAGTCTTACTGTTTTGCGTGAATACTGTGTGCCTCAGTTTCCCTGTGTATTGCACCAATGGCTGGGTAGTGGGGATAAAGGTGTGACTTTTCCCGAGACCCTCGGGGGCCGGTGAGGCTGCTCCAGCTGCCTGCCTGTAAGCGATGGATGGTGCCCTTAACCTGAGAGCCAGAAGTGGGATGTGACCAGGTGACACTTTGCCTGGGAAGCAAGACAAAGACCAGAGAAGGAGCAATGGGGATGTCTGAGGCCAGGCAGCTGGGTCCAGTTCAGTCTGCTGTGGGGGACTCGAGGAGGGGGTGTCCTGGGCGTCTGGCTCAGGGTTTCCCCATGATGGACTTGGCAGAAAGTCACTGATTCCTGTGCTAACAAGTTCTGTTCTACGCTGTGTACATGTTGACTAATAAACCTTCTGTTTTTCCAGCTGTCAGAGTCACAACTGACTGCAGAGTTGGGTGCAGGGCCCTCTGGCTTCCCCAAGAGCCCCGCCCAGGCAGACTCGCTGTGGGAAGCGCACGGTGTGAGAAGGGGATGCTGAATGCTCCGAGGTCAGACCCGGGAAGGGGAAGCCATGTAAACTTCGTGCCCTGGCGACAGAGTCCTGACTGGCTTCATACAGAGCAGCTCCAGAGCATCGGCCCGGTGACTCCGTGACAAACGCCTTCCCACAATTCCCCCGTGTGCCCAGAAGGACAAACAAGTTTTCCCACAACTCAGAGCCCTGGGATGTGTCCGGAGACGTCCGAGTGACACAGACCAGTCAGTGCAACCCCAGCAAGGACAGGAACGCAGGGAGGGTTCTGCAGGGTGGGTGTTAATGTTACACTCCCAGTCCAAGGATGGTTTTAAAAACAGAGGTTCTATTAGACTTAACAGGTATATTAACAAGCCAACAGACACACGCAGCCTGCCTAAGCCCCACGCCAGCTCAGTCTCACCGGGACACAACCACCACTCTCCTTGCTTCCCCTCTGTGTTCCCTCGTCAGCAGCTCTCCGACCCATAAAGAGACAGGGCACAAGTCAATGACCCCTGACATTCCCTTTGAGTGCCACACTCGGCCCTTGTCTACACCGCAGCTCTGCCTCTGTAATGCCGTAGCATACACACTTGCTACAGCGATGGAAGGGGTTTTCCCGATTGCTGTACCTGCTCCATTCCCGGCAGAGGCGGTCGCTAGACTGACAGAATTCTTCCACCCACCTAGCGGTGTCTACACCGGGGCTCAGGATGGCTGAACTCTGTCTTGAGGCGGTGAGTTTTTCACACCTCAGAGTGACGTAGCTAGGCTGACCTAAGTCTCCCACCCGGGCAAGGCCAGTCCAGGTGCCCAGACCTGGGTGCCAGTCCCCCAAGTTAACTCAGCATGGACGATAGAGCCCGTAAAGCCCCCAGTCAGGAAGCAGAGATGATTGAGGTCACAGCACTGGGCCCCAGACAACCCCTGTCCAGGGGCAAGTCTCCATTCCCCTTCTGCAGCCCTCGCTGACCCCCTGAGCTCCTCACCACCACCCATGGGGCAACTAGGCTGGGGCAGCTGTCTGCTAGTGCTAATATCCCGCCGTGGAGGAGCTGAAAGCATCCCAGGTCCCAGTAGCTGGGCTGAACACATCCCTTCTGAGAGAGTCTCTCCAGCCCCATCTTCTCCTGAAACAGGGCTGTCCGGCTGTCGTCAGAGCTCTGAGCAGAGCAGGCCACGTCAGAGTTTCCATGCCCCAGAAATATGGCCAGGCCCAACCGCAGGGAATGCTCTGGGGGCCAAGCAGCAGCTGAGATTGTGGAGTCAGGACAGCAATTCAGCAACACCCCATCACGGAGGTAGGAGCCGCTTCACCCTCAGACCTACACACGACGCAGCCACACCTAACCTCAGTAACTGGGAGACCCAACGGTACTAGCCCATCCCCGACTGCCAGGCCCCATCACAGCTGCCGTTCGCACCCAAGCACCTGGGGCAGGTGCCAGCTCACCCTGTACTTTCAGGACAACACCCAACTCGTCTCTAGGCACCGTGGGGGCTCCCCCCCCCACACACAACTAGTCACACAGAATAGTTACCATGTGACTCACTGGTTACTCAGCCAGATGAGTCCCACCCCAACAGCTCCATTACCTGCCTGAAAGCCCTGGCGAGAGTCAACAAAAGGGTGTCAAGGTGTCTCCAAGGCCCATCAGCACCACCTTTTACCCTGTGCTTTGCTGCCCTCCTGGCCTCTGACCACCCTTCGCTTCTGCACTCCAGACATCCGCACCCCTTGGCGTCTCATGAGCCGGGCATCTCACGAGCCGGGAGGTCCCGGATGACTGGAAAAAGGATAATGTAGTGCCCATCTTTAAAAATGGGAAGAAGAGGATACGGGGAACTACAGGCCAGTCAGCCACACCTCAGTCCCTGGAAAAATCATGGAGCAGATCCTCAAGGAATCAATTCTGAAGCACTTAGAGGAGAGGAAAGTGATCAGGAACAGTCAGCATGGATTCACCAAGAGCAAGTCATGCCTGACTAACCTAATTGCCTTCTATGAGCAGATAACTGGCTCTGTGGATGAGGGGAAAGCAGTGGATGTGTTATTCCTTGACTTTAGCAAAGCTTTTGATACAGTCTCCCACAGTATTCTTGCCAGCAAGTTAAAGAAGTATGGGCTGGACGAATGGACTATAAGGTGGATAGAAAGCTGGCTAGATCGTCGGGCTCAACGGGTAGTGATCAACGGCTCCATGTCTAGTTGGCAGCCAGTTTCAAGCGGAGTGCCACAAGGGACAGTCCTGGGGCTGGTTTTGTTCATTAATGATCTGGAAGATGGCGTGGACTGCACTCTCAGCAAGTTTGCAGATGACACTAAACTAGGAGGAGTGGTAGATACGCTGGAGGGTAGGGATCGGATACAGAGAGACCTAGACAAATTGGAGGATTGGGCCAAAAGAAACCTGATGAGGTTCAACAAGAACAAGTGCAGAGTCCTGCACTTAGGACGGAAGAATCCCATGCACTGCTACAGACTAGGGACCGAATGGCTAGGCAGCAATTCTGCAGAAAAGGACCTAGGGATTACCGTGGACGAGAAGCTGGATATGAGTTGACAGTGTGCCCTTGTTGCCAAGAAGGCTAACTGCATTTGGGGCTGTATAAGTAGGAACATTGCCAGCAGATCAGAATAGACGTGATCATTCCCCTCTATTCAGCACTGGTGAGGCCTCATCTGGAGAACTGTGTCCAGTTTTGGGCCCCACACTACAAGGAGGATGTGGAAAAATTGGAAAGAGTCCAGCGGAGGGCAACAAAAATGTTTAGGGGGCCGGAGCACAACTTATGAAGAGAGGCTGAGGAAACTGGGATTGTTTAGTCTGCAGAAGAGAAGAATGAGGGGGGATTTGATAGCTGCTTTCAACTACCTGAAAGGGGGTTCCAAAGAGGATGGATCTAGACTGTTCTCAGTGGTACCAGATGACAGAACAGGGAGTAATGGTTTCAAGTTGCAGTGAGGGAGGTTTAGGTTGGATATTAGGAAAAACTTTTCCACTGGGAGGGTGGTGAAGCACTGGAATGGGTTACCTAGGGAGGTGGTGGAATCTCCTCAACATTAACAAGTCACCGGGACCAGATGGCATTCACCCAAGAGTTCTGAAAGAACTCAAATGTGAAGTTGCGGAACTATTAACTAAGGTTTGTAACCTGTCCTTTAAATCGGCTTCTGTACCCAATGACTGGAAGTTATCTAATGTAACACCAATATTTTAAAAGGGCTCTAGAGGTGATCCTGGCAATTACAGACTGGTAAGTCTAACGTCGGTACCGGACAAATTAGTCAAAACAATAGTTAAGAATAAAATTGTCAGAGACACAGAAGAACATAAATTGTTGGGCAAAAGTCAACATGGTTTCTGTAAAGGGAAATCGTGTCTTACTAATCTATTAGAGTTCTTTGAAGGGGTCAACAAACATGTGGATAAGGGGGATCCAGTGGACATAGTGTACTTAGCTTTCCAGAAAGCCTTTGACAAGGTCCCTCACCAAAGGCTCTTACGTAAATTAAGCTGTCATGGGATAAAAGGGAAGGTCCTTTCATGGATTGAGAACTGGTTAAAAGACAGGGAACAAAGGGTAGGAATTAATGGTAAATTCTCAGAATGGAGAGGGGTAACTAGTGGTGTTCCCCAAGGGTCAGTCCTAGGACCAATCCTATTCAACTTATTCATAAATGATCTGGAGAAAGGGGTAAACAGTGAGGTAGCAAAGTTTGCAGATGATACTAAACTGCTCAAGATAGTTAAGACCAAAGCAGACTGTGAAGAACTTCAAAAAGATCTCACAAAACTAAGTGATTGGGCAACAAAATGGCAAATGAAATTTAATGTGGATAAATGTAAAGTAATGCACATTGGAAAAAAATAACTCCAACTATACATACAATATGATGGGGGCTAATTTAGCTACAATGAGTCAGGAAAAAGATCTTGGAGTCATCGTGGATAGTTCTCTGAAGATGTCCACGCAGTGTGCAGAGGCGGTCAAAAAAGCAAACAGGATGTTAGGAATAATTAAAAAGGGATAGAGAATAAGACTGAGAATATATTATTGCCCTTATATAAATCAATGGTATGCCCACATCTCAAAAAAGATATACTGGCACTAGAAAAGGTTCAGAAAAGGGCAACTAAAATGATTAGGGGTTTGGAACGGGTCCCATATGAGGAGAGATTAAAGAGGTTAGGACTTTTCAGCTTGGAAAAGAGGAGACTAAGGGGGGGATATGATATAGGTATATAAAATCATGAGTGATGTGGAGAAAGTGGATAAGGAAAAGTTATTTACTTATTCCCATAATATAAGAACTAAGGGCCACCAAATGAAATTAATAAGCAGCAGGTTTAAAACAAATACAAGGAAGTTCTTCACGCAGCGCACAGTCAACTTGTGGAACTCCTTGCCTGAGGAGGTTGTGAAGGCTAGGGCTATAACAGGGTTTAAAAGAGAACTAGATAAATTCATGGTGGTTAAGTCCATTAATGGCTATTAGCCAGGATGGGTAAGGAATGGTGTCCCTAGCCTCTGTTTGTCAGAGGGTGGAGATGGATGGCAGGACAGAGATCACTTGATCATTACCTGTTAGGTTCACTCCTTCTGGGGCGCCTGGCATTGGCCACTGTCGGCAGACAGGATACTGGGCTAGATGGACCTTTGGTCTGACCCGGTACGGCCGTTCTTATGTTATGTTCTTATGTTCTTCCTTAGAGGTTTTTAAGTTCAGGCTTGACAAAGCCCTGGCTGGGATGATTTAGTTGGGAATTGGTCCTGCTTTGAGCAGGGGGTTGGACTAGATGACCTCTTGAGGTCCCTTCCAACCCTGATATTCTATGAAAAGAGCTTCCAACCTTCTCTGAGCCAGGTACTACATACTGCCGGTGCCAGGAGCCATGGCTGCCTCTCCCTGAGCTACAGACGCTCCCCTCGCCAGCCAACAGCACCCAGAGGCCTGTCAGCGAAGGAGATGCAGGTTACTCTGACGCCAAGGCCAGGCAGCCCCTACCTCAGCCTCTACAATCCACAGCCTTCAAGAAGCCACAAGCTGTGAACAGGTCAGACCTTGTCTTATCCCCCTCCCTGCTGGGGGGTGGGACCGAGGACTCCCCCCTAAGCCACATCCTCTGCCCCATCCGTTCTGGACATCAGGGCCATGGATCCCAAAGTCTCAGTCTAACACAGGCCAGACAACCTGCCACCCAGGGGCCCAGCAACGTGTGTGCAACCACCACAGTCACTATGAAAAGCTAAACAACTCCACACACGGTCTGGGGACCCAGCCTGGGTGGGAGGTGCGGGGATGGGGAGAGAAAGAATGGGATGCAGCTGTTTGCAGAATCATAACCCAGTTGCCCCTCTCCAGTCCTGAGGGCTTGGCTGGAGATAAGGGGTTCTCTAAGGTTTGTTCCTTTCCACCCTTAACTCTGCCCCTTGGGTCCATGGCTGGAACTTCACCTCCATTGAATCTGCTTATGACAAATATTTAACATTTCCCCAGCCAGAGGAAACCTACAGACTGGACCAGCCAAAGGATCCTCATGGTCAAACTGCAGTCACCGTTGGCACCACCATTCACCCCTGACATGCAGCGCAACAGGGCGCCTCAAGGGGCCTGGCGCAGTGGGACATGCGGGTACCAGTGACACAGGAGGGAGAGAGGGGGACAGGAAAGAGATCCACTCTTGGGAGAAGGGCTCCAGCCAAAGGCTCCCCACAGCAGCGGGTTCTGATGATAACGGGGGCTCCAGCTACCAGCACAGACGTGGGCAGAGGCCTAGCGGAACAGAGGTTAGAGAAACAACGCTGGCGCTTTCATAGAGCCCAGGTGACCGGACTGATGCCCTGGGTAACGCTTCTGGCCGCTGTTCCGAGGAGCAGCTGGTTCTGGGCACTCGCTGTCCCAACACTCTGACGGAACCAACAGGCGCTGAGTCCAGAAGTGGCGGAAGCAGTGCCGCTCCCAGTGACCACAATCGAATGAGGCCCTGTGCCTGGAGGAGGTGAGGCCCCACGAAGTGATGCTGACGGGGGATTGCAATAGAACAAAGCAGCCCCCGGGTCAGCTGCAGAGGCAGTAAAATCCCTGCAGGGGCATGGATGCTACTGAGAAACCCAAGACAATAAGAGACGCTCTGAAGGCAAAGCAGCTGCGGAACAAAAGGGAGCGAGAAGCAAAGAGAAAGCCAATAGGGCTAAATAGCGGGGGCAGGGGGTGGGGGGGGAGGCTATTCAGGCCACACCAAAATCCTTGATGCCTGCCCCAGTGAACCAAACAGGCGCATACGCTACAGCTGGCGAGAGGGGCGCTAGAAGGGCCAAAGTGGGGCTTGACAGCAAAGAGCAAAGGATGGGCCAGTGGTTAAGGCCCTTGTCTGGAATATAGGAGACCAGCGTTCAATTCCCTACTCAGCCATAGACTTCCTTTGGGACCTTGAGCAAGTCACTGTGCCTCACTCCCCATCTGTGCCGTGGGGAGCCCCGCCCTGCCACACCCAGGAGGCGCTAAGGTGATGGGGCCAGAGAACTATCACAGAGACACAGGTGCAAAAACAAACGAGAGATTCTTTATGTCCATCAGAAGCAAGAAGCCTGTGAAGAACTGGG